TACTACTACCACTACTACTATAAGGTGGCATTGTATAACACTAGATGGCCTCACAAAAAAGAACAAATTTCCAATCACTATTGATCCACGTGAAACAAAATTGCCAGATCACAACATACCACCAAGGCATATTTTACCGGCTGTCGCAACTTAAAACTACGCGAATCTCAAACTAGATTTCAACATATACAAATTAGGTGCTTTTTTGAAAGTGCATTTCACAATAAGCAAACTTCAGTCGACTGCTTAAAGAGGCTAAAAAACTGCCGCAAATGTTTCAGTGAATACTTTACATCATTCATACACCAGACCACACAATTAATCAGCTATCATAAAAATACGGTAAGACATTGAGGTTAGGTATAAAACCTATGTGCTTGCAAAAACGTAACTCAGATTACTGTCACTTAAAAATGCAAACACTTTAAGTTACCAACAAACGATTCTACCCCTTGTGTTGCCAACTTCACAAAACAACCTCGAAAACCACCTCTCAACAATGTATACCTGATTCTGCAGCTATCATCTAGCCCTTTAAAGGGAACTTAGTGTGCTTTTCTAATTTGTCAAGTTACAACAAACACAAAAATTATTAACACGAATGATTCTACCCCTTGTGTTGAGGTGGCAAAATTTCATCGATTCAGGACACAAGAAAAATTCGTATCAAAACAGTCTCGTGTAATGGCTAATGAGAAAGTATACAGTATACAGAAAATATACAGTAGATTTTGAACAAAAGTAAGTGATACGACTGACTAAACGTCTTCCAGACAACCTATGCTTAAGACTATGAATATGAAGGGCAAGGCATAAGGCACGTTGATAAGGTTTGAATGGATTTTGACCCCATTTGTAGGCACTGTGGTCAAATCTGTGCAGAGCATTCACATCAATTTGTATCACGCGTAGCTGCATGGTGACGAGGAACAAAGTATCTGGTCTCATTATAGGCGAAAACAGCAGAGTACCAAGGGAAGTAAGACAAACGGGAATATGTGAATGCAATAATTTGTTCCATTACACTCCGGCGCATAAACGTTGACCACCGAAAGTAGCAAAGACAACCGGGTAACAGAAGGATGATTATCAGCAATCATTTCACCGATTCTCAGAGCAGAGGACTGCTTTACTACGGAAGTGTGTCGCAGCAATTGTGATTGGTCCTGCTTCAGACGGCTGTTAAAACGGATTTCAACTCGGTTGATCTAACGACACACCTTGAACAATTATAGACCGCATTTTGTCATCAATAATCCTTGTAAATTGGATGCAGGCGTTAGCTTCCTGTAGTATGATCTTTCGAGGCATTAGAATTTCAATAACAAATTAGTAAGACCGTTGAAAAAAGGCAAGAAGTGGTGTTTAGACATACAGCAAAACGCCTGCCCATCAATATTGGCTGGTCCGGATCGTGATTCAAGAGAAGGTATCGCAGATTCTCCACGATCACGTAGGTATCATCATCGGCCTTCATGAAGAAATCAAAATCATTCAAGTGTTTTTTATAGGCGTAGAGCATGGCGTACCGCGTTTTCTCCCACAGTGCTTCACGGCCCTCTTTGGGCACCGCGCCTGCAATGCAATTGGTAATCGCACTGTTTTAGGCTCCGAACTACGCAAATCACGTACATCCCTATCGCCGACGACAAACGCCAGTCTCGTCGTGATACATGAGGACTACTTGACCGCACACTAAAATCTACACGTAGTTTGAAAGAGGGTCAAGAGGTCCAGACTGTTGCACATGCTAAATAATCAGTCAAGACTTGTGGGGTTTCAACAAATGGCACCTGTTGGCGTAAGGCATTTGCCGTTCGTGCATAACTTAGCAAAGAAGAATAACCAGAACGTGATTGTAAGGAGGCAGATGGTGGACTTAGATGAGACCCAATGGGTCAGAACAGGAGAGCACAATACACAAGTACCAAGGTGTCAAAGAACCGCTAGCTTGTGAGAGCTTACGGACTGAGGGCAAATCCTTGTCGTCCTCGGAGCTAATGAACGTGTAGCCATTAAACCTCCGAGCCCAGGTCGCTTTGACGTGGAGTGCTTTGGTATGTTTTGACGCGGGCATTGTCAGGATGAGTGCGTACACTCGAACCTTCTTTGCCAATTCATTGGCTATTACATCTTCACCTAAAACAATCAAACAAGTATTTCTGATTAACATTTTCCGCTTCACGCCTGTTGGCTACTTCCAAAAGGATATTCTGGTTATAGGTTTGTGGGAAGAGATTAATACGGTGGCCTTACTGCAGGTTTTTACCTAAAATTAGGAGAACCAAATCAAAACCCTGCACTGTGGGAAAAGGTTCAATAGCTTGATGACAAAGACAGTAGCTCTACAGTTTGCTACGCCTTTAGTCCTGAATACTTTACACATATTGTGGTAGAGTCTTGAAACAGGTCCGTTACAGAACCCACGAAACATAACAGCAAGAGCGAATTAAGAATATCAGGGCCTACTTCCCTAAAAAATGCAGAGCCAAGTACTTGTTCATGGTGCTAACATGCAGGCAAACATTTCACATCCCAAACAAATACGAACTACGCCTACCCTAGATCACATTGCAACGATTAATCGTGTGACCTAGATTGCAACTTATTGGCAGAACAAACGAATTTTATGAGACAGGTAATGCCTATTTTCCTAGAAGTTGTTGGAAGCATGGTTTACGAATCAAATGTTATAACTAATGGTAGGCGTTTCGCAGTGGCTGCATTGACTTGATACGCTCGTAAACTAAACACGACCGCAAAGAGATGTCTGGAAATAGATCAGGATGTAATTTCGTTTTTTTGTGGAACCGACAACGCCAGAGAATTTAATTATCAACCCGAAGCAAATAATACAAAACTAGTGTCTCACCTGCATGATGGCCTCCCTCGTGTTCGTTTACAAATGATTGTGGATCACCTATGTCGTTTATTACTTTGATTTGTTTAAGAATGCGATTGGTGGTCATTTTTGGCATGTCCAGGAGATGAGAGGAGAAAATTCCCATAAGCACTCCAGATACAAATATGAGGACGTGCTGTCGACGAAGTCCATAAATAGATGCTGAGGGTTTCATTTTTGAACCTTAGACAGAATAGTACGAAAAAATTAGCTTGTTGTTGCACGTTTCCATGCTACTTTATTTTTTTGTATTAGCGAAAAATAGAAAAAAAACCGCCAACACACATAACTCACAGATGCATAAAAACTGGTTTCAGATTCATTAACCACCCTCGATGTAGTTTGATTGAATGATACTTTTTCTTATTTAACATCATACAGTGAAATACGGAGTCTAAAACTGTACTAACAGCCAATCCGATATTAAGGCCACGATAGCTAAGAAATAAATCACTCGCAAATGTCCTGCTCATGTCAACCAGTAACAAACAAGGATTCAAAGTTCGAAAAATAACTAGAACCATCAAAACAAGAATATGGTGCGAAGAACCAATCTGGGAGGGCATGACGTATTTTGCTTTTGTTTTTTTGGTGCACACAAAGCTACAGCTTGCCAAAAATGCAAGTTATGGAAAGTTAACAAACTTCAGCTAAACTAAAAAACATGAACAGTGTTTGATTAACAAAAAAGGTACTTTATGCGTCTGAAAACGACAGACGCAAGAATAGTAATTGCTTCGTTAGTGGAAAGCTCTAACATACGAAACTATAAAAGGCATCAAATTAAAATGCTTGAGAATACTACGTTAATAAGCTAAATTTCTACAAGTTCGTAATTTCACGACTGTAGCAAGATTTGATAAGAGGAATAAGGCAATCTTGATTAGGGTTCGTGAAAAAAAAGATACTGAGAGTCATTTGAGTTACTGGTGATTTCGGAAATAAAATAAATCTTTACTAGAGGTAGGGAAATTCTAGACAAAAATGAACGAAAAATGCACAAAGAGAGCAGTGAATACTTTGATGGGAAAATGTGCTCAGATGAAAGAGGAAAAGAAAATAGGCAGTCATAGTATGTTTAAACTTTGTCAGTATATAGGCTGAAATGAAAAGTGTACCTGCAAATGATATCTAATCTTGTCCCAGTGAAACCGACGAATGTTTCGACACGATGCCAACATGACAAACATAAAAAACTCGGTTTATGCAAACCCATATCAATATTTAGTTTAGCAAACAGAAAATAAGGTTCAGGAAATGCAAAAATGCTTATACTGTGTCTGTGAATTCATTAACACACAAGAACAGGTATGGTTGCTAAACATAAACGACAAAAGAGTGACAAATACACAACCATACAAGACCAAAAAGAACAGGGAAATGTAGTAATATGGAAAACATTAAATGCGTGTGAATTATAACCGAATTCTCACGCAAAAACAAACTCAAGGAGTCAAATGGACATTTGATTTTAGTTTCAAGGTCACATCAGATATGACCCTATAGTATTGCTAGGAAAAAGCCATTTACAAATCAAATCTGCAAACCGAGATTCGGCGGCTAATGTAAAAAAAGAACTTTGATTGTTTTAAATAATTGGATTAATTATCCAATTAGTACTATTATATGCATTAAAAATTTGTGCACTAAAAATGTATACACTTTTTATTATAATTCTGTGTCGAGACTAGATGACATCGATGGGAATTCATCTAAAACGTTTCGAAAACTTTATCAGATGGTCAAAACTGGATTAACATCTTTAACTTAAGAAAATTACAAATCATTACTCTTCGTTCTACGATGGAAATTTCATGCTTAATAGATACATTGATTAAAAAACTTATGTTATGTGTTCATGAAGTCGCCCCAACAAAACTGAAGTCTGTTTTCAACAATACAAATCATCTTGCTTGCTTGCCATTTATTGTCAGATATGTGGTCTACGTCAATTTAATCGGTATCTTCACGAACAATGTTTGCAGCTGTAACATCTTAGGACACTTCCTTTTTAATTAGAACTTGGTTTTTTCTCTAAGAATGCTAGAGAATGCTTGCTATAGGCTCAAGATACCTGTACAAGGTTTGTCAGGATATAGTCATATCTGGCGCGAATAATACCTGAAATTACAGATCTGGTAGGCGTTATACGTTTCTTATTGAGCATGGGTAAATAGAAGTTCGCAATATCAAGAAAACCACATGCTTTATCTGTCCCATTCCTTATTACGCAATAATTCAAACCATTATTAACTGCATTTACCGAATTTCCAACTATTTCAAATTACCGCATTTATGCGAGCATATTTTAAACTCTTTAGATTTTGTCGCAAATCATGCATTATCAGATGAGCACCTGTCAAATTTATAGTTGATTTAGTCAGTAAAACCAATAGACATTGTGGAACAATGTAATAATTTGATGTCTATAAGGCATTAATTTTTGATCGCTTCTGACGGACACTAGATTAAAACCAATGTCATATATGATACGAAGAACTGTTTTTACTTGGAACATTGACTCCATTTATAGCCCACTTTTCCGAATCAGAATAATTGTCTTGTAGCATGCCTGAGCATTATAAGACAGTCTTCATTCGCAGTTTCGTGTAGCGATGTACCAGTGTAGAATTCCCAAGCCCTAGCATGAAGACTGGTGCGACAGACAAGGCTTTATTGACCAATCACAGGCCAGAACCTCACGCCAGGCGCCGTTCATCCAAGTCCGTCACGCTGGCCACGCTGCTCATTATATACTGCTCCTCGTTCGTATTCGTCTCTGGTTTGCTGCCTATCTTCCTCGCATGCCATTGGTACGCAGAAAGACGGAGGATTGGCTGAGGCCAAGGTGGTCTAACATGTGTGCGCTTTTATCCGTCACTACACAGGATACAGACATATTAGATTATGTCGGCGTTAGCCAATCCTCTGTCTCTTCGCGTTCAAATAGCCTGAAAGGAAAATAACAGCCAACCAGAGACAGACACGTTTGAGAAGCAGTATATAATGAGCAGCGCAGTCAGCGTGGTTGACTCTAATGGACGGCGCCTGACGTATGGTTCTGGCATTTAGTCGGAGATAAAGCCTCTTCTTTTGAAGTAGTCCTCTTCATAGTAGGGCTTAGATATTTCGCAGTAATACCGTAATGGGCCAATTTCCCCTCAATGGGCCTTTGAAATGCCTACATTAAAGAACAGCAGACTACAACAGAGAATAATCCCTCAATAAATAGTGGTACAAATTGTGTGGAGGACTCCGCCTGAGATAAAGCAATGGCTTTTGAGTGGTCAGAAAAGCTTGACCTTTTTAATCAGCCTTCTTCATACTAGAGATCCGGTTTTCCTAAGCACTAGCTAAGAGCGTTGGCGCAGGGTTTACGATAACCGCTGGAGTGTAAGCTATCAGTCAGTGTTCTTTTGAATTATTGATCTTAAATTTGATACGAGTACCCTAATTTCATACACAAAAATAATCTCTACAAGGGTCCTGCGACATTGAAGTTTTGTAGATCTTCTTACCAAGCACAAGTTACCACGCTACATGTATGCGTTAACGGAGATTTATTGCTGCATATAACCAAGTGTTGAACCGTCCTCTTGAATAAGTGGATCGAATTAATTAAGTAGGCGAATGGGAAGCTGAACGGCATTATTTAAGTTCTTCTTCCCTAAAAATTTACTTTCTCTTCAAGAATACGTGAATTGAATATTAGCTTTTATTAATAATAATAATGCTGTCTTACTTCTCTGATCCCTAACGATGCCATGCATCTACGAAGACTATTCACTTTATCTCAAAGGGTCAAAACTGACTTTCTTAACAGCTAAGTGTGTGTTTAGGTTAACCCGAAGCAGTTCCCCAGTGAAGAATCAGGGAGCTTGTAAAAGACAAAAATATGGATTTAGAAAATGATAAATCTGTACAATAGGAATATCAGAGTACACGACTAGACCCGTATGGCCGAATATTCAAAGTGTAAACAGTTTGGGCGTTGCTGCCAAAGACTTTTCTCTTGTCCTCGATGGCACCAAAACCCGCATCCTCCATGCAGTGTTCGACTAGTCGTGCAGCCTCCCACACAGAAAGTTGAGAACGCGAGACCGTCTGTCCCCTGAAACCGGGGATGGGGGGACCAGCACGTTTCTTCGACGCCAAAGGACCTCCTGTTCCGCTGTCGGACCAGCCAGTCTTAGGTGGCGCCACCACCCGACAAATGGGCCACCCCGACCCAAACAGACAACGCTCTGGTCCGAAGAAACCAATTGCCTGGGTCAAAACCGATGCAGGACTCCAATCTTCGGTCGTTGTAGTTGCAGACTCAACTGTAGCGTCAGATGTGTCCAGTGTCGATACAATTTTGCCAGAGGTTGCCGTAAGTTTACAGTAGACATTCGGGTAGCGGCTCAGATACTCCAGGTCACTCTTCCATGAGGTTAAACGAATTTCTTCATCTACAACAGCAAAATCATATTCAACTAGGCCAAACCCTCCCACATAATCCAGGTCGAGATTAACAATTAACGAAGAAACCTTGAATCGCCACTCAAATAGGGATACAATAAACACGTACCAGGACGTGTGGATGTGAGCTCAAGCGGCAAACCGCAGTGGTTGAGGATAATTTTCAATTTCGGGTGTTTGTATGCCAAGTGACAGGCGTGCTTCAACTGGTGAGGACCTATCATCAAATCGAAAGGCATATTGTTCTGCTCAATTGCCGCGAAAGCACTGTCCAACTCCGGGTCGATGAGGAGGTCAGCATCAGAGTTGGTGAAATCGTGGCGCAGACCCACAAGAAATGGATCAAGCATCAGGGTGCGCAGACGGGACGCAAACCCAGGGTCGTGCAGGTCAGCCCAGCCGATGTGGCCAGCCAAGTAGTAGTACTCCTCGGCTATTGACGATATAGCCAGGTTTTCTTGGTATGTCGGCGTTGACTAAATTGACATACAATAAAGTGATTAGCGGAACAGTTGCTGGGTTAGGGGCGCGCTTTATTGTGAGCGATTCCGAGTTGGGTTATGCCAAACTCCGTGTAGAGCAAAATCAAGCAATCCCTTCAACAATCAATTTGCCACATTAACTTCTACCACAAGAATAAAGGATAACATATTATGCATGTACCAACAAGTAAGAGAATTGGTTCAACAATTTAACGGGAAAGCAAAACCGTATCTGGGGAATTAAGTGTGTGATGATGCAGCACCCTCAAGATCGAATCTGAGAGCCGAATGCGATGACCATAACACGATATCGAATTGATTTGCAGATTCGGATGACAACTGAAATCCAGTTTCAGGTAATTGAAATATCTACGAACAATTTCACAGGTTTAAAAACTCAACACGGTATGGCTGCCGTGCCCTAGTCTAGACGAGCGCAAAGCAAAAGTAAAATTCCAATATTTTCTGCTGTAAATGCAGAACATAATGCTTCAAACAACAATCCCACCTGAACATGAATCGCGTATTGAACGGGGGACAATTCCCCAATACCCTCCTTCAACTCCGCGTTCGCGCGATGCTTCATCTCAAAAAGGTCTTGTTCGTAATCGTCCGGATTGAAGTCACGCTTTAACAGACTCGAGGCAGAAGGAATTTTCCACTTTGCATCACCAGGCAGTCGAACACCCTCGTAGATGTCGCCTCGACGTCGAGAAACGGACCACAGTTGAAAGTGGGAGTCGATGTACTGCGGTGTGAGGGGAACCCACGCAGAGGAGGCCGCGGCTATCGCTTCCTTCTCTGCTGTCTCAAAGTCTGCCGCCTCGTCGTCGATAATGGCCTCCTCCTCTGCCAAGAGCTGTTGACATAACAGTGCGTCCTCTAGGTTCATTTAGATCTGGCCATATGATGCTGGATTCGCATGCCAACTTCCTCAGCCTTGTCGTCGTAAATGAAAAATTATTGTCTCCATCAGTTTCTGGTGTGCACTACTTGCCCTCCAACTTTCCATTTTTTGCCAAATGCCGAACGTCTATAAATTCGTATCCTCTGTGCTATTCACCTTCTGCGGAAACAGCCAGCACACCGACATCGCTTGATTGTGGATTTATGGCTTGTCTTTTCGCGCCCACCCACCCACCCCCTCTCTCATGCATTAGTCGGTGGAACACACTCGTCAATTCTGCGAAAAAACGTTCTTTGCCTGTTTCCTTATGTTTGCACATCAGGGGTTTTTGTCGTCTCCTACCAACTGTGTCTCTTTGCAAAACCTACAACCGTTCCTACAGATAATTGAAGGTGATTTTTAAACCATATCATGAAGCGACTGAAAACGTGATGATAGCTGACTGCTGATTATTTTAATTAAACAAATTCGAATGTAAAAGGCAGAGCATAAATGGGACAGTATTTTCAATATTATCGTTCGAACGGTATCTTCATATAAAAGATGCCGCTGCTTTTGTGTCTCTGGTCGCTTCATGATTCTTTTAAATCAACCAGATGAGTTCTTGATTGATGATATATAGGATGTAAGTGGTAAAAATATGTCTTGAGATGAAATGGAAAGATGAGCTTGTTAGCCAGATCGTCAACCCATGACCTGTGCTTAGTACTAAATTTGCATATTGGCAGTGAAAAAAAAACGGTATTAAGATCAATATTGTTCGAAAGACGTAAATCGCACTACGCAAAAGAATCGTTGTGCAAGTGTACAGCCAGGCCTTGTTGCAAGCTCAGCAACTTTTGGCATTGTCCCACATCTCTGGTGATTCCGTAGGGGTAGAGGTGGTAGATAAGGTATTCCAGCGTATACATGTCCTTCGGGCTGACGTAGTGGAAGGATACGGAGTGGTCACTGCAGCAATCAAGACCCTGAACAAAACCCCAAGAAGGTTCAGATTAGATTAGTCGAAGCCAAACTTCTTTTGGCCCAAAAATCCCAAGAGTGTACAAAGGAAGATATTTCCTCAGTTTCTCCCTGCAAATCCGACGGTGATGCACCAGGAAAAGATAAATGCGTTGAAAGATTTGAGAACGGCAGTTCCTGGTGTGAGATTGTTGGACCATTAACGCACCAATTGAATCTGGTACAGGGAACAGCGTTTCACAAAAGAGCTTACGTCAAAGTCATGGTCACTAGTTAAACATAATTTTGATGAGAAATCAGAACTTAAGTCTAGATGGTCACTCGAGTTAATATAAACTCTGAGGCGAGTGCAAGTAAGACAAGCGACGATGAAGCAGGTAGTTGTTCGGGGGACATCACCCCTGACCAATTAGGTTAAAACATCTTGTATTAACATCTAACAGTGTAAAACAACATTTATCACGGCATAAGTGGGAATGCCATGAGATTTGTGATTACCTAAAATTGGTAAGATCTCGCGAGATGTATTTGAAGTTACAAAATTACATGACTTGACACCCACCTGCAGTGCCTGTGAAACAAAATGCGGGCTACGATAGCACCGAGAAAGATTATTGCCGACAGTTGGCTGTAGTCAATGTGAATCTCTAGGCTACCAAGTGCAAACTGGCGTCCGAGGTATGAAACGCAGTAAACTGTCCTTGATACGGGCAAAATAGGCGGTTGAGTGTTGTCAAGTCAAACAAATAATTAGGAGCGGGCTTTTGCGACCGGTAGATAAACCCATTAGCCTCAACTAAGTAAGATAGGAAGGCAAGAATCCAATACCTTGCCGTTGTAAAGCAGCTTCGCAGTCAAAGCTAGTAGTTGCCTTTTAGTGTCAAGTTAAGCATGCAACCTTACATCAGCTTTAGAGCTATGAGTTAATATGCCACGGCTTGCAGCACCTTGCAGGCTCTGTGTACGAATCGTGATGTTGTAAATTCGAGATTTCAAGGCTCTGTTTGACGGGCGTCGATATGCACTGTTCCAGTCTCACTATGTCTTCTCCCTGTTTTATTACTACAAAATCCGCACACCCGTTAGCACCAGATGACAGTTATTTTGAGCTGAAAAATTGTCATACAGGTTGTTGGGATCCCGCTACTGGTCACGTCATCCTGTATACATTTAGGACGGATATTGTTGCGATAATTTGGCAAGCAAGTAGTCCCAATGTTTGATCTACTGATTTTAATTATGACCAGCTCGAAGTCATACAATTAGCCCAATCGGATCACACAATGTTGTAAAGTCAAAAAAAGAACTATTATTTGAGTTTCCCATGAATCGGAGTGCATTCACGCAACCCAATGAATTAATACTTTCAATGTGCACCTCAAACGCGACAAATTGAGCTTTTATCACCGGATTAATCGGTAGTGATTAATAATGCATGATCTGCAATAACATCAGTCGAAAATGATCATGGTGTGAGCGAAGTGATTCGGCACAGACCACATCAAAAGCTAATTTGCATTTAAAGGTCATTACGACAATTTCGTGAAATTACGAAGGTGCTGCGCATGCCGATCCGCTCCCATGAAAACCCTACGTCTAATGTTGAAATTTGGCGTCAACATTTAATAAAAAGGATGAAAGTGATCAATGACTAACGACAAGAATTGTCCAATCGCCATGGAATCTTGTTCTGGTATGATATCACAAGGCCTCGCACTTATTCAGTGATGCATGGAAATTTGTTGGAGATTGGGCTGGGAAGTAATAATATATCATCCATATAGTCCCCAACCTTGATTATTCAAATTAGCACTCATTTTTAAGTTTACGATACCCTTAAAACGGTACATTTTTTGCTAATGATGACAAACTGATATCGTACCTGGTTGCTTAGGCGATGGGGCCAGAGACATGTAATAAAGTTGCCAAACAAAAAACAGGAACATAACAATTAAGGCGATTTAAATGAATTAAACATACTAATTCTTATTTTTTTCCCAGAAACCGAAAGTATGTTCTTGTAAACCTATTATGTATTCACTAAACTCTGTTTTGGAAAGCAATGGTGGACTGCATAATGTCAGGTGCAATACGATCAGCCAATGGAAATCCTCTATATCGAATTGACGATGTCTGCGCATCCGTACACCACGCACATAACCAACGTTATAGTTTCGTGGAACAATTGTGCTTGAAGGCTATCTCTTGAACAAGCCGCAATCCGCTTTGTAGAATAATTATAAATAACGGTTATGGGAGATAATTAAAGGTCTAGCTTTTAGGCAACGCTGCATAGACGGCTAGAAATAGGTGTTTGATTTGAGAGGATAGAATCGCATTTCAGCGGCGGCTGATGCGTTCATGAGGCGTCACGGCGTACACAATGGTCCAGATGGATTGGTTTGGGGCTAATGTTAACAGGGTGCCTGTCGATTTCGTGGTATTAACTTGCACCGTGTAGTTGAGATCGACTTAGTCAAGTACTTCCTTACCTAGAACCAATTATTCGAATCAAGTGAATAGCTCATTGAATAAATGGCAAACAATGATAGAGCTGAAAAAAGGAAAGTCAGAAAAGTGCAACAAAATTTATGTGATGGAGGTTAAATTTGTAACCACATTTAGTATTTCTGCAAGTTTGAGCAGACCTTTAATTGATCTAGGGACCAGAATTTCAATTATATTTTCAGCAACGACAGAAGCGCAGAAAAGCCGATGCAAACTCGTCACGTTTAAATCGCAAGGTGTAGAATACGTGTAACGTCACTAGAAATTTGATAATATCGAGAAAACGAAACACTTACATCGATGCCCGAATCATTCACGAATACAGCGGAAACCATTCTAACACCCCAACAGCGGCGTTCTACAGTTCCACGAAAAAGGACCTGAGGCCTAGTAGTATTCGTCAATTTTTGTTTATATCACCAAGAATCATGGGGTGGATTGCAGCGATTGATATATGAGCC